AAAAAAAAAAAGAAAAGATTTGAAAACAAACCGAAGAGAAGATAAAAAGAAAGTTGAACTCGTACGAGAGAGTTTTGTTTCTTTACCTCGAGGCAAGAAGGTTTTCATATCGGGAATGATATAACGAAGCCGAAATAATCGTTAAGGGAAGCAAAGGGCTCACGTTCTTCGATTACCCTCCGGGGTGGGTTGGGGTTGGTTGTGGGGGTGGGGTTGTGGGTACGCGACTCGAAATCACGAAGGGAAGTCGTAACGCAAGACATTTAATTGCGCAATAAATTGTGATTCTCCGATTTGCAACCCATTTCCTACTGCGGGGGCGACGATTGGTCGCTGTTAAATTGGCGCGTAGGTGCGATGGTTGGTACCTACGTGGTTGGTGTAGGCACGCATGCCGTGAAAGTCGGAAGTACCACCTCCCACCCTACTTCTCATCCAACTCGTCTTCTTATATTATTCTTATTATTATTTTTAACTCTCTTAGTTTTCTCGTTTTACTTTTTTTTTTAGGTTAGGAAACAAACGCCATTTGCATTTGTCACTTTCTACGAGATTTATTATAATATACCTTTTATCAACGTAATTCATAAATCAATAATTAATAATGACTTTGTTTTTGTTTTGTTGTTGTTCGTTCCCGATCAATAATAATATATTTTTTTTTTTAATTAATAATGACAAATCCTAGATAGATCGTATTAAGATTTGTCAAAAGGTTGACAGTCGATTTATTAATCGACTTGATCGATCATTATGTAAATCGTTGTAACTTGTCAACGAGTTGAATTGTATATAAGGTATAATGTAATGCTAGAAAAAAAAAACATTATTAACATTGGATGGAAGTACGATTGAAATAAATTATACAGGTAAAGTTTTCAAGCTAATCGAAAAATATGTATACGATAGTTATGATTTATTTCGAAATATTTCAAGTATGGTGTTCTATATTACCAAGTATTACAGAAAAGTTAATAAAAATGATGCATAATCGTTTACAAGATAAACCAAATAATAAAAAGACTAAATTATTAAACTTAAACTATTAAGTTATATAATTATAAAAGTTATCTGTTTAAATACTTTTGTAGCTTCACCAATGCTTACGTTTATAAAAAATAAATAAAAAGATTTCTTTGCAAATTTGATCTATACAATTTAGAAAATCATACATCCATTCATATCCAATGTTAATAATAATATATTTATTATAATTAATAAAGTATTTCTGATGACACGTGTTCAAATACTTTCGTAAGTCACTGTACGTAATAATTGGAATGTAAAAAAAGATTACATTAATAGTAATATTTAATTAATAATAATTGAAATGTAATTATTGTATTATTATGATCAGTAGTCTCGACGTAGAAATATTTTGATTATTGCAGATTCGCTGATACAAACGTTCATTCTGACGAGCCGTACATTATTCCTAATTTCCGGGCTGATCAGCACGGTATCCGGAGCACCGTTTGGTTACGGTCTCAACACCGATATCACGGAATCTAAAAGTGAAATGGAACCTTGGTTGCAACCATGCGGTACACCGATAACGGAACCAACCATACAACCAATCGTACGTCACAGCGTTCACAGACAATTGAAGAGGATACAAACGCAAATAAGGATTGCACACAATCACTATAAAGAATATAGAAATGACATTCGTCAGATTTACAATAAGGTAAATTGTACATTAATTGTTAACAATTATTATCAACATTAAAACTAATTAAAACGATGGGGAATAATTTATGTCGTATTGAAATCGGCCAATTAGGCTTGCTAACGTTTCTGACGAAGGCCAGTAATACTTACTCATTCGTAATTAATCATTCGCGAGGTACTCGGGGTTAAGATTACGCGTGGGTGGGTTCTCGAGGCAATGCACGGGCAACACACCCGGAGGAGTTCGCATCGCACGTGCGGTACAATGCCGACAACACAAAGTCCTACTTTCCGTGAGGTACGACGATTTGCATTAGTTACGCGTGTTCCCCCCAATCCCCCTCCGTTAAACTCATGCAGACTCGATTTTCTCGTTGACTATCTTACGAGATCGTTTAGATGCAAAGTCTAATGAATGGGGCACCGTATAGTGACGACTTGACTTACCTTTCGTATTCTGTTTCACGTACTAAACGTTTCTCATAACTGAAATATTATTTTCAACCTAACACACTACCACTACCACCCCCTCTCTATTTCTGTTTTTTTTTATTTCATTCTAAGAAATTACTAATCTCTTTTGACCAACCCGTATAGTATAGTAATCGAATGCAATAACAAAAATTCGCGTTAAATCATAAATATCGTTATTTGCGGATAAAACCTATCTCGGTTAGTATTTTTTTTTCTTTTCTTCTTACTATAGCATAAATTTATCGATCGAAAGGTTTCCTTTCCAAAGGCCCCGGAGGACTGTTTGCTGCTAAATAACATAAATCGTATTATGGAATACGATTTTTCTTTTGGAATTTATTTCATTCGCAATTCTTCTCTTTTTTTTTCTTGTCTCCCGTTACCTACTTACTTACAACTACTAATACTAATGTTACTAATACTATTTAAATATAATTGAACGAACGAACAACGACGACGATCTTCCTCGAAACGAAACGTCAAGACTAAACACTCGGACGTATCATTTTTCTTTCGCAGGTGGACAAAGCGCTGAAAGGGCAGTACAGATTAAATTGGCTTCCGGAGAATACGTTCGCATGGTACGAAGAAGAAATTTGGTGCCTCGAAAAGGGTAAAAAGGCGGAACGTGTACTTCCCCGTCTTCACGACGGGCTTCAAAGGTTCGCGGTTACTTTTCTAAATTTACGAAAGTTCGAATTGAAATCGGAAATAGATGCCGATCTTAGGATAAACAAACGAAACGAGATCATGGATACAATGCTAACCGAAATACTTCGAGTAAGTTTTATTTCATTATTATTATTATTATTATTATTAAAGTGAACCCAAAGTTGGTGCCTGTTTTTTATTATTATTAAAATTTCATTAACATATAAAGTAATTTTGATTGATTTAAACATGAAAATATTGTACTTATTTGAAACAAACTTTTGGTTCACCTTAAAATAATTCATATATTTATTTCCTATCAAATCATTCGTATATGATTTTTTGTTTTCTTTAAATTTAGATACTTTGCGAAGTAGAAACAATGATGACCAATTTAGGATTGGAAATTCCAACCTCGCACAAAGCAGTCATAGTTACGGAAAATCATGACTGGTCTAAGGAAGGTGATCTAACTTTATTGCTCATTCAAGATTGGGGTATATTAAGATTGTTCAAAGATTTTTTGAGCGATTGGAAAAGTGCATTTCGTAATGCAACAATGAGAGGACCAGGTACCTGTATAACTACAGCACCAAAACCACCTATGCTAAGACCGAAAAAAATCGATGATTATGCGAAAAAGAAGAACAAGAAGAATCCCTGTCCTAAAAAGAAGAAAATCAAGAAGATTAAGAAAGACAAGGTCAACAAAAAATTAACGGATGGTTTACGTCTTAATTTCAATCAAACTGAACCTTTGTTACGAGGTACAAGACTATGCCCAAGGAAAAGACTGACGAGGAAGAAACAATTTACTTTGCAAATTACTACAACGACGCAATCAGCGACGACTATTACAAATTTCGAATGATTTTTTTTACACCATTAGATTTTATTATCTTTTTTTTTTACACATTCCTCGATCGAATAATTTTCTTTTTTTTTTTTATCTTTAGTATAGGATAAAAATAATTGCATTCGATGTCGAGCACTCGCAAAATGAAAGAAAATGTCTTCTCAATACGATCATAAACGTAAAATGATCTATGCATAATTCATAAGCACACATCATAGGACACACATCATCATCCCACCATACGATCTTTTTATTTATTGCATCTCTCGCCATCGATCATATTTTATTTGTCTTGTCGCGCGTTTGTTTTCCTTTTTTTTTTTTTTTTGTTTTTTTTTTTTATATTCTTCTTTCTCGATCTTACATTAGAGAAAGATAATTTTCGACTACCCCTTTTATCCAACAACAACCCACCCCCACCCCCCTCCCTATACACATATCGAGAACAAAAATTCGTACGCGAATTTATTTCTATGTTTTTTTTTCTTCCAAAAGGAAAAAAAAAAATCGAATAATAAATTATTTCTCTCTCTCACTCTCTCTTTGTTTATTTTTTTTTTTAATTATTTTTTTTATAGGCTTGCTTTAAATTTTTTTGTTGTCACTACTAGAGGACCAGTATTAAATGATTAACACTTCGAAACAGTATTATAATTAATATAACGTAATAAATAATAATAATAATAATAATAATAGGGATATATTAATAATAATTTTGATGCACAGAGAGACTTATCGATCGATTTTAAGAAAAATTTGCGATTAATAAGGCACTCACCTGGGAATCACTTAGCCATCCGTATACATATACATACATATATGTATATATGTATACACTTATTTCTTCTTTTCTATTTTTTCTTCTTTTTTTTTTAATTTTTTTTCTATTTCTTCTTCTTTACTTTCTCGTTTTTTTTATTTTATTTTATATATAATCACGAGAGAGCACACGTACGTTCAAAAACATTAACTCTTTGCGAAATGTTACTGAAAGATGTATTGAGAATTGAAGTAGAAAAAAAAAAAAGAAAAAAAATAATAATCTTAAGAGAGAATTTCGAAAATATTTCACGAGTTTCTTTCTTATCTTATTTTATTTCTATCTATCTTTCTTTGAGTATTATATTTGTATCTTCGTTAAATTATATCGAGTATACTTGTTTTGCGTATTTATTCGACAAAGTACAAGCACACATTTACAACTAATCGCAAGGAATATTCATAATTATTTAAATAACGAAAGGAAAGTTTTCTCCCAACAATTTTTGTAACAGACAGAATTCATATTTTATTTAACTTTCGAATCAATTCAAATTTGATTTGTTAAAAAGAATATTCGAATATTATTGTATATAATTGATCACGAGAATTAGTATACGTATCTAGGGTAAAATGTATAATGAAAAATACAATAATTATATTTTGTGTGAATAGTATCTAATCGAAAATTAATTTAAAAAGAAAATGAGTAATATCAAATAATATTTTTCTAAAACAATGATAATTTACATTCATTTCAATCAACAACAAATATAATTAGAAAATTCAAATATATATTTCTGCTCATAAAAATATCGAAACAATCAAAACATAATATTGCATTTCAAATATAAATTAATTTAAATATAAATTGAAAATAACGAATATTTTTTATGATTTCGTTGTAAACGTGTTCAAATAATAAACGCATCGTTCTCTCGCGATAATAATAAAAAAAAAAACGTAAGAAAAACAAAAAAAAAGGAACAAGTAAACCTATAAATCATTCCATATATCAGATCAGTCCAAAAATTCGTGCACATTTTGCATTCCAAGTTTGAATACTTTTCTATTCTTTGTTTAAATGACGAAAGATTATCCCATAAGATGAAAATGCATCTTATCTGCGATCTGATTTACAGTTAAATGTGTGGTTCTAATTCCATAAGATTTTTTTCAGAAATTGACATACATGTTAATGAATTTTTGAACTGACTTGATATTTCGAATTTATGGAAAGAAAAAAAAAGTAACTTAATTTATTGTAGCTTTAAACGTCTGCGGGCGAAAGCTTGATGTTAGCTGTGATATCCCCGAGCGTAAGCGGACAGTGAACAGTTCCTACGTTGTATACATAGGTACATGTATATAAGTATATCATCGTATATAGTCGAACACGTACCATACATATTTAACTTAAACATTAGATTATTTTCCATATTTTATCTCATTTATTTAATGTTTCTTATTTTCTTCTATTATTCCTATTTTCCACAATAGAATCTCTTTCTTCATTGCGAACATGACAACAATTGTATCTATCTTAACTTGTGTACTTACTTTTGTTTCCTATTCCTTACTTTTCTATCTTTTTAAAAAAATAATATTCTAAGTAGTATTAGTAGATGATAAATTATATTAACATTAGATTTACGGACTGAGTCAATTAGATTTATTAAATATTTGATAAAACTTTTATTATTTTTTTAAAAACATATGTGAATATTAAAGTATTAATTCTTCGTTCAAATTATGTTTGTAAATTATTGAAAAATTAATGAACGAAACATTCGTAAATCTAATGTTAACGAATCGAAAATTGATTTTTGAGGGAAGAAATAAGAAACAGAAAATTATGCTGAATTTTATTTTACTGTTTTTTTTTTTCTCTTTTTTGGTATACGTACCTTTTGAAAGGTACAACGTTTTGTTTGAAAAACTGATTTCTTATTTCTCAATTCTTCTTGACTTTTCATTCCATTATTTCATACTATCCCTTACGACTTTCATATTCGTACTTATTTAGTAATAAAATTAATGGCAAACTTTTTCAAGATCGAGTTAAGCGAGGCTCGCATAGTATAATTCATAAGAATTTTAGGAAAAAGTATTTTCGTATTTTTTAAAGTGGTTAATTAATTAAACGAATTAATGTGTGCGTGGTATATTGGACGGTGCGATATGCGTAAAAATATTTTACGGTCAAAATTTTTACGCGTTAACTGTCTCACACACACAACACACACACACACACGTATTATTACTTTTAATATATATATATATTTTTTTTTTGTCTATATCTTATGTATTATTTTGCTGCGTTAACATTATATCGAGTATACACGTACTTTATATATATTTATTCGACGTACAAGCATACTTACATAATGTCTTTAATCTATTATATTATTATATCACGTTACCACATCGCATATATTATTTATTTGTCATCCTTCTTAATTTTTTTTTTTGTTTCTGTCTCCTTCTTTTTTTTATTATTTGTGTATAATCGTCTCGAATATTAAATTCAACGTTCTTTTTTACTACTGTAAATTATAAACGAGTGAATTCTTTAACAAGTTGACTTTTTTTTCTCTCTCTCTCTCTCCACCTCAAAACCCCATTTTTTCCCATGCATTGCATTTTTATATACAATATTCGGTTGGCATGAAAGTACTTGCGGATTTTTTTGTACTTGTAATGAACTTTAATCTATGATGTTTAGTCCATTTTGTTCGATGACAACTTGAAAATTCCACGCTCGTAGAAAGTCTGATCATTTTCGGCCAAAAACTGAAGTAAGTGCGATTTTACAGCGTCATCGTCATTAAAAGTTTTACCACGAAGGGAGTTGTCCAGAGATCGAAATAAGTGGCAATCCGATGGTGCAAGATCAGGGCTATATGATGGGTGTAACATCAATTCCCAACCAATATCCATCAATTTTTTCCGAGTGGCCAAAGTTGTGTGCRGCCTAGCATTGTCCTGGTGGAAAATGACACCTTTGCGATTGACCAATTCTGGTCGCTTTTCCTTGACTGCTGCATTTAATTTGTCCAGTTGCCGACAGTAGACCTCCGAATTAATGGTTTGGTTCCTTGGAGTCAGCTCAAAATACACCGGACCTTTCCAATCCCACCAAATTGAGAGCAGAATCTTCTTTTGTGTGATATTTGCCTTTGAAGTGGTTTGGGATGACTCATTAGGCGTGCACCACGATCGTTTTCGATTGACATTGTTGTACACAATCCACTTTTCGTCTCCAGTGATGATTCGTTTTAAAAACGGATCGAATTCATTTCGTTTAAGCAATAAATCGCAAACGTTGATACGCTGTGTCAGATGAATTTCTTTCAAATCGTGCGGAACCCAAATATCCAGCTTCTTAACGAGCCCAACACGTTTTAAATGATTCTCAATGGTTGTATGTAAAACATTTACCTTCTCTGCATCCTCCCATGTAGTTACGTGACGATCTGCTTCGATGATTGTTTTGATTTCATCCTCATTCAGCTTAACTGGTCGACCTGAACGTTGGTTATCTTTAAGAGAAAAATCTCCAGAACGGAATTTTTCAAACCAATTTTGGCATTGTCTTTCTTTAAGGGCTTCATCACCATACACATCCCGTATCTTTTTTGCGGCTTGCCTTGCGTTCTTTCCTATACGGAAATAATAAAGCAAGATATGGCGAAAATGTTCAGTTTTGCACTCCATATTAATATTCAAATAAAGAAATAACATTAAGATAATATCTGCGCAATGATTTCATAACGTTAAGTAAGGATTACAGATAACATATATAATAAAAAGAAAATCGTAACATTAACGAGCATTATAAAAATGGGAGTGAGACATCTATAATCAAAATACGCAATTACTTTCTTGCCAGCCCAATATATAATATTAAGGTGTAGAACCATAAGTAAACAATTCTTTTTTATGTCTTTAATTTTTGTATCGATTGAAGAGAGGAAACATCTATTAAATATATATATATATTTGTTTTTCTCTGTATGCGTGTGTTCTTTTTTCTCATGCATATATATAGAAACCGTTGCAACATTCGATTTCAATTTGAATCGAATTCTACGCGGAAAACATGAATCTCATGCGACTCGTTCGTTCTTGATAACGAACCAACGAACAAATCGAACGTCTGGCCACCAAAACATGTAAGTTTAATCCGAGTTTGTCGGTTTCGCATGATCGTAAATGATGTTGCAATAAGGTCGCGTAAGGCGTTCGTGCGTGAAAATAACGCGTCAGGTCTGCCGTGTGTTTTAATAATAATAATAATAATAAAAAAGATATATATATAATAATAATTATTTTAACACGTTTAAATATGAATTTTTAAATAATCTTTAGACTTTTTCTTGTTTATTTTTTATTTTTTTTAAATAATATTCTATAGTTCTACGCCTACTACGATGATCATCGTGTAGAACACGCATCCTAGGACACGTGTAGGCATAATGTCAAATTGAACTTTTCAAATTACATCCTATAAATGACGTTTATTTATCATTTTGTGTTAAGTTCAACACGTAATAGTCATTTATTCTTCGATCGTATCGAAATGATTAAACAATATCGATTGGACAAACCATTTACAGGAGTACCGAAATAGTAATAGGAGTTCACGTTCTAACAGGAAGTAGATATTAAACATTACTACGATGTCTGATACCTTGATTACGTTTAACAACATTTTTACAACAAATTACAATTTGTAAAAAAAAAAAAGAAAAAAAATTAAATACAAATAAAAACGACAATAAAATTCATCGATCGATTCACGACACACATATCGATAAGAATAAAATATATTTCTTTTTTTTTTCTTCTGACGATATATATTGCACCACGGTAATTTTTAATCCGTATCCCATTTTGTTCTTTTTTCCTACAATGATCAAGATCAGATAAAAATCGATAAAGATCTAAACACCACTCCCAATTTATTCCTCGTTCAAAATTAATCGCAATGATATTTATTTTCTTGTATTACGAATCGGCAATAAAGGATATCGAAAGAATCGTTGTTGCATTCAAATGCACAAAATCAATCAACCAACCAACCAGTCAGTCAACCACGTGACTTTTTATTACTATCATTAAAAATATACTATTTCATACTAATAGCAATCGTTCGTTTATTTTTCCATGACCTTGATAAACAACCACGAATACGGGGAAATAATAAGACGCATTCCTCTCTCTCTCTCTCTCTTTCTTTCATTTTTTTTTCTCACATCTTGTGCTTAATCCGGCGTGAGAGAATCTAATCTTAGTTCGGTGATCTTCATAAGTATCTAATTATAGTATCTCCTTATATGGATCGTGTCCTACACGTGAAGTGTCTAAGCGAGTTAGAACAACACTACGTCGTACGACGTATTTCAGCTTACGTCGAACTTCATTCACAACTTTTTTTTTTCTCCCATATTGTGAATCTTACTTTTTCGTATCGGGGTAAAATTATTGACCATTTTATTTGACGTCAGATTTTTTCTTCGGCAAAATGATATTTAACGTTAAATCTAAGCAAATGTTTCGCGTACGCATTATTTTTATAATATTTTTTATTGATTATTATTTATAATTAATATTATTAACAAAGGCCAATATACGATACCAAAAGTTTAAATTTGATTCAACATTCGATGGATAAATAATATTTTTACATGGGATATAATTTGAATCCTATTTTTTTGTCTCTCACACACATACACACCTTTCTTGACTATTACAAATTTTGAAGAGATAATAATAAATGCTTCTGGTGTTATCCGATTATTCATTTTATTATCATTTGTTAAGTATCATATTTTTTGTATTTTTATAAGAATATTTTTGATTGCAAAAGACACAGCGTTTCGTAACTCCCACACACCCATCAACCCCCCTCCTTACCGATTCCAAAGTCTTAACATTTGTGTTATTATTTTTATTCTCTTTCACCATTTCGGATATCGAGATCAGAATCGTGGTGGGTTGATTCTCAGTGGTGACAACGAGTTTGGTCGGGGCGTTTCTTCGTGGCTTTCCCATTTGAATCACAAAGTCAACAAATCGTTGTTTGCGTCTGTAGAACTTGCCGGACGAAAGATTTTAGCCGATAGGTTGTACTATATTTTAGAATATGATCGTTTCGAACCGGTACGGAACAGTAAAACCCGTGACTGTATAAGTCGGCCGATGATTACTTCGAAGAAAATCGATATGTCTATAAAACTTCAACGAAATCCATAGAAAATTCATTGGGTTACTAAACGGCGTCATAACGGATACATTTGGATAATCATTTCTGCACGTATACCTTTTTTCAAGTATCTCTCGCGAAAGGAATACCGAAAAGTTGTTAGTCTACTCTGAAAACACCGTATTTTTATATTTTTTTTTTATGCGTAGAAGAAAACAAGGGGGAAGGGATTCCGAAATTTGTACATATCCAAGTTGTTTAATACAATTTGAAAACTTGTTTCTAAATATATTTAAGAACAAACCTAACGAAATATTTAACAAATCGCATTAGCAAAAATTGTTATTTGAAATATAGACGAAATTGTGCGTTTACCATTTAGCAATGATCTTTTCAAACATATTGGCCTATGTTACGAAGAAGATTTAAAGAAAATGAAACTTAGTATAGGCGAATAAGCAATGGACAAAAGATTTCCGGCCACCCTGGCAAGTGCGGCCTGTTGGGCCGTACGAGACGTCAAACGTGCGTGTACGTACGTTCGATTGTTTACACAATCCCATATATAAGGAGTAAGGAGTAGGGTTTGACAATCTCAGTTGAAGATTTCACAGCAATCGTGAACAACGGTGTCGAGAGTTGGACGAGCTAACTATACATACATATATACATACATATCGTTAATCCTTTTGACATATTCCTGCATTCTTCAAAAAGAAAACCGAAAAAAAGAAATCTTTACTATATATCAAAACGTGAAGATAAGAAAAAATTCTACCTCGTTTCGAATCGTTTGATATATTAAACAACAAAACAAATTTCCAAGCTTAAAAAATCAAAGTGAACGTTATTTCAATCTTGTCACATTATATATAAGAAGAAGTGTGATTGTTCAACACAGTGAGATCAAACAAATATGATATTCGAAAAATCTTCCATATTCATTGCTCTTTTCGTAGCAACGGTCGTGATTGCAGCACCGAATAATAGAAACGTCAGATACGTGACGGATATTCCACCATGGTACCTGCCGTGCGGTGATGTTATCGACCAAGGTTTCGATGCTGACTCCCAGCAGGAGTTAGGCTCGATCTTGAGCCGTTTAAAATTGCAGCATAAGATCACGTTGCAGGATTATCTAAATCACGATTACGAATATCTGTACAATCGCGTTAGAATCGGCGTTCACGAACATCAATACATACCTAATTGGATACCAGGGAAAAAGGATTCTAATTATATCAGGAGACTCGGAAAAAGCAGTCAGCAAACGGTAATAATCATGTTTAGAATATTACAACTAATAAATAGTACTTGCTCGTTGACTTGTATCGATTAGTGTATTAAAAATCAATGAATTCTATACATACATGCATTTCTTATCGATCAAATGTTTTTCAAAAAAAAAACACGGACTCGTATTTAAAATCTCTAGTATCTATATTAACGATAGTAAATGCAATACGAAGATAGGTAGGTAAAGTAGATATAACCGAACGAGTAAAAGTAAAAAAGCTTTCACGGAACGGATATAACATGTTAGTTTGCAAATCGTATCTTAGTTGTTGTTGGTACAACGTGCAATATCACCCGTGCACTCTATTGCAATTGATTAACGCAACGTTAAATAACAAATTTTAATGAGACGGTAATTATTATAAAGTAGCAGGATAGTAGGAACGCGTGCGATCGTTTCACCGGTTTGTGAGTACTCGCGTGTGTTTATATGTGTGTGTGTGTATTGCGTGCGCATAACGTAGAGAAACGTCGTCGTGACGACGACGACAACGACGACGATGATGACTGCAACTGTTTCTCATGTTAGCCGGGTCGAACTGCTCCGTAATCATGCTCGTCTGTTTCCTCGATGTGAGCGTACTGATAAAAGCCACAACTTAACCGATAATACGTTTACTACCCGTCTACGTGCTTATCCTTCCACTGTTTATTGCATGTATTGCAACGTAGATGCTTTACCATTCCCCCCTTTCCTTTCATCCAGACCCCAACAAACGTTTGAGTGCACCCCCTTCAACACCACCACCACAATTCTGTTCTTTATCTCTAACATACTCTTGAATTCTTACAAAGCTTCATTCATCGATTCGTTTATCCAAGCTGCACCACGCGCTAACTTTCTTGATGATAACAATGAAAGACTGAAATTTGTAAGAAAGGGTGGGAGTAAGAAAAAAGTGTCAACGAGCAAGCAAGCAAACAAATGTTTTTATTTAAATTGTTATATTTAACTTGTTACCTTGTCATCTGTTACAGATCCTTAATCATTTGCCAAAGTTACACATGGATTTACAAAAGTTTGCTATTGCATTTGAAGAATTGGTAGGAGACGAACCCATATCGAAAACCCATGATGCATTGAAGGCTACGCAAGCTCATATTTTGAGTATGTTGTGCGAAGTTGAGAGTACTATTGCAGATCTTCCTTCGATACGTTTACCACAACGTATTGAAAGAAGTATCATGAATCAAATTGAAAGGGATCCGGTTGACGATACTAGAAGACTCATTCGCGATTGGGGTGTTTTAATTAAATACAAAGATTATCTTCACGCTTGGAGACGCGTATTCGATTATTAAATTGAACGTTATGTATTTTATGTTTCTATACGTGTGTATGTGTGTTAAATGAAGGATGCGCGAATTCGTAGGGTTTCTTCGAAAAGGAAGAAATTTGATTTAAAAAAAAACGATACGGACGGTTGATAAACAAACAAACAAAAAATACGCTGATATAGATTAATTTAGGAATTATCCGTCGAGTGTTCATAATCGATATCGAACATCGAAAAATTTACACAAATACTATACGTATAGGTTAGATTAGTTTATTTCTTTTTTTTTTTAATTTATTTATTTATTAACTTATTGAATTTTTTTTTACTTTGTTCACATTCACAAGAACGATTATTTATTATTATTATTAATATTATTTATTTATTGTCTACGGAATCGAAGCTAAGTTATTTATATGATAAATTATTTATTTATTATTGCCTGAAACAAGAAAACAGGACTTTAATGTTTTAGTTAAAAAATAATTGTAGGGCTGCCTGAACAATGTGATACTTATTTTATCACCATAGTATACTTTTGACTACGGATTATATTTATTGTTCATAAAAGACATTGTTTTATATTATGCAAGAACGTTGGATTAAATTCAACGTTCTGAGAATGACTAAATATTTGTATTATTAATGACAAACCGATAAGATATATTGTGATATATCTAATTATGTTTGTATTTTTTATACGAAGAATTTAATAAGAAATAATAAGACATTTTAATAGCAAATGGTAATTTACTCTATCATTTACTTTATCCCTTTGCGAATTTTATATTATTTATCATTATTTTTATTATACACATTCATATTATAGTACAATTTTTTATTGATATTAGTAACAACTGATTAAAATTAAAATAAACATTAATATATAATTCATATTGGTATATATATATACCCATTTCATATGTTATACGAATTTACGATATAAATATTGTTTTTTACATTCAATTTGCAATGATTATTATTATTTTATTCCAATGAAATATTTCTAGGCTTGTATAATATTATAAAACAGTGCCCCTCATCGAGCTAGGTTGGCCGAGCGGTCTAAGGCGCCAGATTTAAGTTCTGGTTCCCACATGGGAGCGTGGGTTCGAACCCCACACCTGGCAATTCCGATTGTTCCTATTTTTTTTTTTTTCTTTAAAGGATAATTATAAATAAATTATATTCATTTTAATTTCGTTATATATCACGATAAGAATTTTCTATTATTTTTGTTAAATTTTAAACAGATATTTTGTCGATTAACATTTCAAAAGATTTTCTTTATTTTATAAAAATATTGGTAATTAGTAAAAAAAAGAAACAAGTATTGATGTACCTAGTCATTTAAATAATTATAACTAAAAATTCAGATTTTATCATTTATTTATACTTTCATATGAAAATGAAACAATTATAGTATCGATCGAAGCATTATTTATTGTTTAATAATCAAATATTACTATGGGGTATATTATAAATAATTTGAAGTAAATGATATAAAAATTAACAATAATTGTACCTTTGTAATAACACATGAATCTAGAAAGTAGTAATAATTTTGAAAAAAAACATAAGAAATTGTATGAATTATGTTTATTCAGATTTGGAACTTAGTCAGATATTTTCACAGCTTTTAAATCGTGATAAATTTAACAATTTTCCAGAAAATCGAACTTTGTATTAGAAGATCATCATTTAATAAGAAGTAATAGATTTTTCGTGCCACCTTCGTTAACTTCATGTTATCCTGTTAACATATTCCTTTCGTGATATTTCCCAAAATTTTCCCCTCACTTTAGATGTTATTTAAGAAAAACATCATGTTAAGGATGTATAAATTACTTTTTGTAGTACCTCCTTAATCTTTATGTCTTTGAAGTTAATAAATTTACTTCTGGCATATATCAGATGCTTGCTTACCTTTATAGAATAAAAAACAGTTTCATGGTGAAAGAATTTAAAAGTTGATAACTTACCATCAATTCATTGTTTATTATCAATCGATAATTTACCAAGAATTGATAGATTAACAATAAAGCAATTTTCAATTCAAAAAATGATAGAAATTTCTATTTTTTCGAATGTTGGTAACAGTGTTCAGTCGGTAATTTACCTATAGAATACCAGAAATTGAAGTGAGAGTAAGTTACTTTAAGGTACATAGTAGAAGCTCAGGGGACCACTTTTCGCGTAAGCACATTCATTGTAAGTATAAAAAATATTGACATGAACGTTTCAAAGATATGACTGATATGTGTGAAAGGTACATACTTTACAGCATTGCATTYTCTTRAATTTTATGTAGCTTAAATACGAGACTTTAAGTTTAGCAAAGTATTCTACGCGTAGGGGAAAGAGTATTCTTTAATTAAATTTAAGGTTCATTGAGATAAGTTCACTCTAAGTATAAAAAATATTTACCTAAACTTTTCGAAACAATAGCAAAGTTGCACAATTTAGAGCACTGCATTTTTGAAATTTCCTAAACTTTACATCCTAAATTTAGAATCCATCAAAGTATTCTGCGCGTAAAAAAAAGAGAGTCCTTTAATTAAATATAAGATTCATTAAAATCTAATAACTCTAAGTATAATAAATATTTACACAAACTTTTCATAGAAATTGCAAAGAGGCACTGTTTACAGCATTGCATTCTCAAAAATTTTAGGAAACTTTGCATATCGATTTATACCTCGAATAAGTATTCCACGYGTAGAAAAAAGAGAGTCCTTTAATTAAATATAAGATTCATTAAAATCTAATTACTCTAAGTATAAAAAATATTTACCAAAACTTTTTAAAGAAATAGCAAAGCAGTACAATTTAGAGCATTGCATTCTCTGACATTTTCTAAACTTTACATGCAAAAATTATAACTCGACAAAGTATTCTACGCGTAGAAAAAAGAGTGTACTTTAATTAAATATAAGATTCATTAAAATCTAATTACTCTAAGTATAAAAAATGTTTACTCAAACTTTGAAAAGAAATTTCAAAAATGCATCATTTACAGTATTGCATTTTTCGACATTTTATGAACATATTGTCTCGTTTGATTCTTATCTTTGTCTAAGCAAGTCTTTCTTTTTCTTTATATACATTTAATTGTATTGATCGTTAATACATATAAAAATGAAAAGTAAATACACATGTTAGAAAATAAAGTCCTACAATTAAAAAACAGTGTGAGAATGTATTGAGTGCTACTTTTTTGTTGATGTATTCTTTTGTATTTTTTAAAATAGACTTTTATTTATTTCCTTGTGTCCTTATCAAGATTTTTTTTATATAATATTCTAATTAATATAATATCCTTATTCCTTTTATCCATTTAATATACAGATACTAATTACTTTATAATGTTTTTAATAACTTTTATACATTTGCAGGTAACACACTGGCCAAATGACAATTTTTTAATGTCACTTTCATTTCATATACATATGTACATAAATTCGCGTCCTGTTTTTTTTGATACTTTAATTTTTTTTATTACAATCTATTTACAGACTCGCAAGTATTTGGTTTTTTAGAAAAGTGCAGCATTGATTTGGCTAGTTTTACATTCGTATATACTTTCTAATCTTTATATATATATTAAATACATATATAAAAGATATACTTGGCAATTTAGTCAATACTTTTTTAGCATTTGAACAAAAATCTCAGCTTTTTTCTATTACACCAATAAGCTCGAATAATATATTATACTTTTTTAATCGATACATAATTATACATTCTCATACTAATGTATTATTTTATTTGTAGTTTATTTAATATATAACATATTTAACGTATTATATATAGCTTATTGATTTTTATGTTTACGTTTATCCATACTAATGATCAAATACGTTTGAATGTACGGATAGAAAAAGAAAGACTTGCGAAGACAAAGATAAGAATCAAACGAGACAAGCCTCAGCTGTGTGTACACGTGATCTTTCATCTAGTATGCATAGAAAAACATTTAGGCACTGCCTTATAAGGTAAATAGGTGGGGAGAGGTGACTCGACTACGTCATCAGCTCACTTTGTTTCCGGACAGCGGTGTGTCAGGTATCAACTAGTTCTGCTCCGTGTAAGTAATTATTACTGTCTAATTAATTAATATTTCATTACAAAATTTGATATCTAATTAAATCTCATTTGATTTACAGATTGATACAGTCAATCGATGGTGTGAATGCATTGACATTAGGTAAGATGATCTTTAATTAGAATTATATGATTTTAGATTTTTCCATGGTTTCACACAAATTTTTGCAATAATCTGTCATTCTTTTTATGGTTTCAGAAACACGTATGCAATCATCCCATTCTTTCCACCCTCTCAGAAAGACGTTCACCATCGTTCCATGGAGATTATACTAATCAATGGTGGAATACTGATACAACTGCATACATATACGTGCAAGTACATTTATTTATTTGTTTTCTTTCATTTTATAATGGATCTCCAACGCAGCAACCTCCCCGTGGTGAGATCCGGTAATCGATATTGCTTACGGTGTTCATAAAATTTGTATGGTGCAACGTAAGCACTGTCGGGCCAATGGCTGACGTTCGATGCATTAGAAAATTTTAACTTCTCTTTTTTAATTTAATTCTAATGCAAATGAAATGATATATTGAATTAATTATTTAAATACGCGTGTGCAATTGTTGTTTAAATTTTATTATTTTATATTTCTTATATTATATTATATTAAATTTACATAAATAATTCAAGACACATTCAATCGATTGTAATTAATTGTTCTAATATTTATTTATAAATATTGTACTTTGTTTAATTTTACAGTAATGCTATATCTATACTGTTCTATAAATATTAACGCAATTAGTATACTTCTGTAAAAATAACCTAATTAGGATTAAATGAATTTTTTG